CTGTATCCGTACTGTATCCCTGATTATTTTTGTGTATCCTCTGGTGCCGTATACGACCACAACAACTTTTGCAAACATATCGCCTCGCGAGATAAAAGCGGGGTTCGGTTACCGGCCCGCAGACGACGCGAGACTTTAGCGGGGTTGAGAAAGCGGGGTTCCGCGTCTCGAACCTTTCTTCGGGTTTTCAGGGGTACTATCCCTGGCAGGCTGTGGCCCCGCGCGTTCTGTCTCAGCTCAGCGGGTCGTTCCTGAGAAAGATTTTAGCATTTCTGGGTTGCCTTTTTCGGGCTGATCCCGCTCGGGCCGATATGATCCCGAAGCCACGCGGGCGCTTGTTGCACTTATCTTCGTTCGTCTCTTCTCCTGCTCTCACCGGTCGCCTTTGCGCTCTCACTGATACCTTACTCAGGCCTCTGAGGTTCTACGAGTGATCGAAGGTCGGATGCTCGACGACAGGCTTGATTGCTTTGGTCTTCTGTGTCACGCTTGACATTCTTGGGAGGATAAAGCCCACTCTCGTCTCGACGACCTGTACCGCTCGCTCTGCGCTGCCTCATCACACCGCCGCCCGCACTTCCCGCCACGCTCCCCCGGCTCACGCGGGGCTCACTTTACGTCGTCAAACAATACACCGGCCACCAGAAGGGCTTCGTTCTCAACTTCGCGGGCCATATTCCAATCCTTGTGGGAACGGCTTCCGTGCGACGGACTGGACATGAGAAGGATGGACTCGGACTGGCTTGGATGCACGCGACGCACGCGACTGGAGATCGAACGCACGAACCTCGGCTGTGAATCTTCGGGCTTCTGGGTTCGATGCCGAGTATACAAAGGTGGCGGACCCGCTGATCTGTCCACAGCCCGAGCTGTTGATGCGCCGCTTGTATCTTTTTCTGGCATCAAGCTCCCTCTCACCCGATGGCGAGATGGAAGGGATTTCTATCAAGGCACTTTTAGATATCTATCATCTGTGATCGCAGGCGACTTCAAATATGAATGCGGCTTGTCTTGGCTATAACTCGTCAAGCCGGAAGGAACTCGCGGACAGCATCGCCGGGGTCGTCGTTCGCTGTGAACGCACCATTTTACCCCTTCCTTTGCGCGGTTTTGATCTCCGGGTATCAGGCCATCTATCCAGGTTGTATACTGGAACGCCTGGCATGCCGACTATACAGCGCTTACAGGCCCGCTGACGAACAACCTTGCAAGCGTTCGCTATTCCACCGCTTCGACGGTCCTCCCTCCGTGATCTCCTGCCACCCTCACTCCCGGCGTTCTATGCAGCTTTCACCACACCGTGTAACTCAACACCCCTCGGATCTTGCGCTATACGCTCTTGGCTGGCGATGGTTTTTGCCGGTTGAATAGGCTGGCTGATCATCATCTGCCCGGCCATCTATAGATCAGCCCGAACGGTTCAAGCGCTCTATGTTATCCTCCCCCTCTCTTGGCTCCCATCGCGATGGAGGGATCTGCTTATGATGAAGAATATGCTGCTTGAAGAACGTGCGGTGTTCTCTGATGATTGAGCTGTACTTGCGGGGGAGAAGATTGGAGATAAGTCATCGCTACGCTGAGATCCGTCTGCAACCCTACTCATTGAACCGCTGCTTCTACAGGCTTCTATTTCCCGCTACTGTCCTTTGACATCAGCGTCTCCGCGCTTCTTGACTGTGACGATGCTCTTCGTCTCTCCAGCCACCTCATCTTGGTCGCAGTACTCTGGCGCCCCAACCCTCGGGTCACAAGCAGCGACGAGTGAATGCAGTTCACCTCTGGGCGAGCAAAACACAACGTTCGGAAATATTGTAGTGCGTGCGGATGTACTGAGTAGATGTGCTCTATGCGATGATGAACCCCGTGCTGATACCATCCTATCCAAGCTAAGACGAATGCCGCGCAAAGTATGCATGTAAGCCCGTCTCCCAGGCGGGAGACTTCAAGTGCACAAATGTGAAATGCAATTGTCTTCTGTCGTGTCGTGGACGTTGTGTGATGAGCAGCAGCGCAGACAAGAGCACATTCGGCACAGTATCCTGACGGGCGCGGCGCGCGACGCAAGACGCGCTCGCGCCCGCTCAGCGCTCAACCCTTCGCCGTGGGTACGCGCTTAAGTATTCGCTCGGCCGAGGGCCCGAGGCATCGTATTGCAAGCGCTTACACTTACTTCCAAGCACATACTTGCCTCGCCTCCGCGCAGGAAGTCGACACCGTTCGTGCCTCGTTCCACCCTATCAATGCTACGCATGCTGAGTAGTACCACTGAAGCACATTATCCGAATATGAAGACCACGTGGCGGCGTCTATTTGCCAATTGTGAACAAGTGGCTGTGTTCATACCACCATATTCGCTCAGCCAGTTTTCACAGGGCGGCAGTTGAGAGGCAAGACGCCTTTGGATATATATCCCTCTCTAAGACTATGGCCATCATATGTTACTCAGCATGACAACGCCCAGGTATGATATCCTCCCATCGGGTTTTTTTGGCATTTCACGTCGTTGAGCGTTCAAACGTTCATTCTCTGCAGAGCGCCCGGCTGTGCACGCGCTGGGAAGTTGAAAGCCATGTAAACGCCGCGCATTGGCGGCTGGTCGACGTCTCTCTTCCTGCTTCCACCATCTGGTCGTGAGCGACCACGTCCATGCCTTCAAACATCGTCCGGCGATTCGCTCGGGTGTATGAGAAGTCGCGTCCTCGCTCTAAGTCTCACGCTCCCGGCCCGTCTTCGCCTGTATCGCCCGCCGGGCACGATGGGCCTGACGTGACCGAGCCACCGGAATCCATATGTCCAGATCGATGCTCGACAACCGATACGCCTACTGCAGATGATCTCACCGACCTCTGGGATGAGGCTGTCAGCCAATACCGTGACACCACCGGAATAGATCTTCACGACGAAGACTCCGAACCTGACCTCCATCGACGACTGCAAGGCTGTCATGACGTGCTCAAGCTTAGCCGTGCGCTGGACACGATGGCCTCCGATTTTCAAGTATACCGCAGCTCGCCCAAGGGCGTTGGAGGGAAGATACGTCGCGCGCTTAGGCCTATTGTGCGCGTCGCACTTGTCGTGCTTGACATCGGGGGTGAAGCTTCCGCCGCAACTGTACGTCCAAATTTCATAGAGCACTGGTCTTACTCGAGCTCAAGATCCATGGTAGGGAGTACCTGGTGGGAAGGCGCTGTTTGTGGCCGTAGGCGTGCTTCTCAAGGTGCGCTTCTTCGCTCGTCGCCAATCGTCTCAGGAGCTGACCTTCTGCGCAGACGACGATGAATGTTACCAAGCGCTTTGATGCTGTAGCGAGTCTCCTAGAGAAGTTCAGCTTCTACATGGATCGTCTGAAGATCAGTGCACAACATACCGTGGAAGGGGCTTTGAGAGCTATTATCGTCGAGTTCTTGGCACACATGTTATGCTCCTTCGCAGCTGTCACCGATATGATGAAGCAGAATCGCATAGGTTGGTTCTTCACTCTCCTCTCTTGCGCCAAAAGACTAATACTGTCAACGAAAGAACACTTCTTCAGTCTTCTTCGTGGTCAAGAGGATGGTGTCACGAGCCTTATGCACCGCGCTGAGACTCTGATCGAAGAGCAGTCGCGTCTCATCTTGGTCGAATCACTTCATATAATGAAAACTCTGTCCGCGAATTTTGAAGATGGTGAGGGTATTCCAAGACATTGGTTGCCTCTTGCTCTCGATTGACAATTCCCAGCTCACGCAAGATTAAAGACGCTGTCCGAAACCACTGAAAAGCTGAATCGTGATGTCCGATCCTGTGAGTAGCGTTTGCTCACTCCGTCAGGTGCCAGGTCCGCTCATTACGCCTGGCAAAAGCCGGACTTTTACAGTTGCCCGGAAAGATGGATGTCTACATCGCACAAGCCGCGAAGAGTACGTGCTCTGCGTCTCACTTCTTTCCTCAAGATCATGCGCTCTGATGTCGCTTGTTGTGAACAGTGGAATTTGGTATCGCGAGGGTCCTGATGACTTTGCAACGCAAAGTCGAACCGCGTGAGTATCGTGTGATACGTGTAACGGCTATAACCAAGCTAATGTAAACCAAGAATCTGATACACAGGCCAACCACCAGCGATTGGCCGCCGTGGAAGCCCTTCATCTAGACAAGCGGGAACTGACAGGGCCCACCAAAGGCTTCATGCATGCATTCAACAGTGGGGCGACACGATCGACAGGGCTCTCGTTTACGTGCCCGGTTCTATTGCCGTGTACCGATATGGCGTCGTTTTCTACCATGGCCGGTGACTTGTTGCAATGTTTCCGGGGTCTTTCTCAGGAGGAGCAGGTGGTTCTCAAGCAGGTTATCATCAAGCTCTATGCGGTAGCGGCCACCAGTATATCTGGAGGCAGCGCAGACAATACAACATTGATGGAAGTCATGGTGACTGGTTTAATGTATCCAGGAGCTGTGATGACGGTCTTCTTACCCATGGCCACCATCTTCATTGCGGTGTTTGCATTTTGGAAGTGCCTCGTATCAACGACCCAGCGAGCGATCCCCAGGACTCCCGGCTATGCGCACGCCGAAATGATCTTTCTTGTCGATGTATTCGGCTCGAAGTTGGTGCTACACTTGGAGATGTGCAAATCATGGGATGTGAGCGTGCTCACAGATGGTCCGATATGCGATATTGATTTTCCTCTAGGATATCCATCATATTCTTCTTCGTCATTTCTCTGGAGAGGAAGTTGCCGAGTATGTTCGCTCTCACGCCTATCAGATTATGGACTCTCGAGATGGCAATGTTTCCATCATCAGGCCCGAGACGTGGGCACGCACGGTACAGGCGGGAATGACGGTCGAAATGAGTATCATTCTCCGACGACAACAACCATCGGCATTTCTTCGATGCCCCTGGTGTGAAGCGGTTGCTCCTCCACGCGCTTCGGACAACCAATGGATTGACTGGTACGCTGACCCATAATACGAGGAGACACAGACATCTCAATGACTATATAGCGCTCTTTGTCATGGCAAATTCTGGGCATCACAGGAGACTAGTGACAACCTGAATGACAAGGACGATACGCTGGAGTCGCAGAGGTGAGGGCTCAATTAGCGCGTGATCTATCTACATGATATATTAATACACTGCGCTAACAGTGCATCAACAATACACACACCCGTAGAGCCCAGCGCGCCGCAAGGAACGTATTCTTCGTCGACTCGGCATCCGGAGTCGGGTCATCTTGACATATCTGCCTTCCGGAGGGTCACCATTGTTCAAAAATTTGGCGAGCCATTTGTCTTCCTGGTGCGTTGAGGAAACGTCCAGACTAACTTCTGTGTAGCGGTTTTCATTCCAAGTCTATTTATGCCCACGCCTACGCAAGCACCCGCAGACGCGCAAACTGGAGAGATCGAACCGAGCTGGAGCTTCCCGGCGTACGTGCCCGACGACGCGACGCTGCAGTCCGAGGGCTGGTGGCCCGAAGCCCACACCCAGGTGCGCCGATCCCATCTTGATTTTGATCCCAGATTTACAGTTGTTGATCGCGAGCATAGTCTTCGCCCGTGTTCGAGTCCGCGTACGGTGCGCC